CCTGCCGTGAAAGCGTTTTGATTGGTCAGATATGAGACCTGGTCCAGACATATTGGGAATGTCAGCGACTGGCCATGAGGAGGGACGTTCTGAATGGAGCTGATGGTTAATGCGGCTCTGTGGACAGTGTGTGATTGATGAAGGAGGCCTCTTTGTTGGTCATGGTGGTTTTCCGGGAAAGGGCAGACGGGCACACACACGCACACACACACACACACACACACCACACACCATCACAACACACCACCACACACACACACACATAATCACACTGAACAAGGGTAATGAGCGCAGATCTCAACATTGACCCTGAAAATGTCTGGCCGTTACTGTGCTGGTAGGACTGACGAATGCAACCTCGCCAAGACACAGACACTATTTCATGCATCCCTCTTCACACTCAGACACACCCACAGACACAGCTGCGCATTCTGAACTGTGAGTTATAGGTTAGTAGGTCTAGTGTTGGGTAAAGATTACAGCCTTTGTATGAGGGGAGGGAGTGCAGCTTTGTGGACCTCTGAAGAGATGAGAGAAATGAAGCAAAGAGCTGGAGGGGATTTTATTTGATCACAAGGAGAAAAAGGTGTCCATGTTGTCACAGCGCACGTCTTCATTTGTGCCTATGTAGGACAAAGTGCTTTCAGCGAAGTGATCCGCAGAGTTTTACCTTATCTACACCCTTTAAAAACTACAGTCACACTACCCACAAGCACTGTGTGTCTTATATCTTGCATCACACTGCCCACTTTTCTTCTACTCTTTTGATGACATAGCTAGAGAATATACTTTGTAGTAAAGGCTTCACTGAAGAAGACGGAGTTCAACCAAAGTGCTTCCAATAAAGTTTTTGCGGAGAAGCAGAACGTCTCCTCCTGAAAAGTGTTATCTCTAAAGGCATGACATTATCCCTTGGCAGGCACGTCATCTCCCACACATTACAAAGGATTTAGGCTGTTTTTCTCCGTGCTTCCACTGCTAACTTATTTGCTTTATGGAAGCACTAACATTCAAATTTCCTGTTGAATATTCATGAGCTTAGAGATGCTGGATGTCGATCAACATACTGTCTCCCCCACCTCACCAGTCTCCGTGCGCATGTGTGCTGACAGACACACACATATATGCACACACACAAGGTCTTTGCCCATAGCTTTGATATTAATGCATCTCACCGCTGTAATTAAGAATAATTACTGCAGCTGGGGCAAATTGCATGGCAATAAAACATTGTATGCTATCAGGCCAGCAGACCTGGGTGTGAGAGTTACTACTACTGTATAATCCTGGTCTGTCTTGCCAGTTCCCAGGAGAGGTGATATATCAAAACCTGGTAACTAGTGAAATATGAAAGCTGTTCTTGGCAAGTGCAGGAAGATTTAAATTTTATCAGTTACAGATGCTACAGACATCTGTTTAGGGTATCTCTTTTGGTGGGTGTTTTGCTGAGTGTATGTAACTTCTTTAGAGTGTCTGTGTGAGTGTGGAGGCTGGTGTGATCAATGATAATGAACTGTATTTCCTTGGCACTGCCAGGTTGATGGAGGAGATGGGCCAGCGGGAATAGAGTGGATGGTCACAGTTCTTTTATCTCTCTGTGTCTTTACCTCTCTGGGCCTGCTATTAAGTTCTCATGAAGCCTCTCCGGACTCACTTTATATCGTTGTGAGAAGAAACACATTTTTTTTTTTTACTATTTGCTTTGGCTTGCACAGATAGCTGCAGAATAAGATAGTATCCCTGTCTGAATTACCCGTGCAGACACAAAATATGGTGTCTGTGTGTGTTAGACACAGCTTGTTGTACAGAGATGGGTTCCTCATAAACTAGGTGTTTCCGCCAAATGCCAACAGATGCCAACAGCAATATATCTGTTGGCTCCTTAGTTAATTTCATATTTTATAAAGTACCTTTAAATGGATCTGTAACCGTATGTGCTTTAAGTTACTGCTAATAACATACGGGTTATTATATGTATATAATAATAATAATGACTGAACTCATCAGCTGTGGGCTAGGGGTGGGGGGTCGTAATCTACTCCACGAAGCCTTATGCAACTCATAGTCAATTATCTAGAACCCATCAAGCATTAATCAACGCAACAAAGCCAAGTTTTTGCGTAAGCTTGCCTCATAAACCTTCTTGATCAGAAAAAATACAAGAACATTCAAAGCAGTGGTTGCTAATGTTTGTAATGGCGTTACAAAGCATGTTCTTCTTATCTTCAAGTTTTTTTAAGTTCAAAGGAATGGACTAAATTCAACAATTACAATTCAAATACAATTCAAATGTAACCCATATATGTAGCGTAACGATCAGCACAGCTTTGCTCGCTAGTGTCCTCCTCCACTCATATTTATTAGCTTAATTTACTGATAGGTCAGTAGGGCATGTAGTAGGTCAAGCTAA